ACACCATGAAATCCGGCCAGTAAAGCGAACAAACTGCCTAAGTTTTCGACAAAACAGCCAACGAGATTTGAGGTGTGATCTTTCAAAATGTCGACTGAAGCTGCAGGTCCTGGAGCGCCAAGAGAAGTGCCATGTGTGTTGCATTTGATCCAGGAGGGAAGTGGAGGTTTCCAGAAAACTTCAATGATCTCAGAGCTCTCGAAGGGTGAAGATTAACTTTAAAATTTTTCAGAATTCGAAAATCTCTGATGTTATTTGTGGAAGTTCCTTTTGTGGTGTTGCCAGAAATACATGTATTAGAAACTATTGAGTTTAAAGCGCTTTTCTAATGGATGAATTTGTTGTTGAATTTTTTCTGACTTCGACATTGTCATATTATGTTGAAAGTGTTAATAACAGCAACTAGGACAATGATCTGACATTGTTTCGACCAAGCACGATGAAATATTTCTCAAATGTCAAGTAAATAGAGAGTAAGGTTGCATTAGAGAATGTTGGCTAACCAGTTTCGGAGGTGTTGCACAAAACTACAATGGAAGAAGAGGTGCTTTGAGGTTTCAGGGAAGCATCCACATAATTTGCATATTGACAGGCTCAGGATAATTCCTTATTCCATAAAACTCATCTGTAGGAATTCTGTTTTGTATCAGTTTCCAAACAAATAACGATTTTGAGGGAGGTATGTTACTGTTCTGAATAAGTTTAGCACAGTCAATCTGCTGACCGGTAGGAGTCTGAAATAAACAAGCATCTTTGAGGCTAAGGTCCCCTACTATAGAATGTATCCATATAAGGTTATCCTCTCTCGACTCTTGACGAATGCAAATATTTTTGATGATGTTAGGTAATTCTGGGTATCTGATCACTAAATCTTAAGGGAAGTTCCAGCTATTATTTTGGATAAAGTCATGAATTTTAGAGATTAGGGTGTGTCATAACCCGAAATTTGACCTCCCTTTTTGCCCTTTGCATAAGCATGTGCATTCGCATCGCTGACATACATATTTACATTTTTTCTCTATGGTTTTAGTTGCAGGAATATTCAGGTTTTTCAAGCCCGATTAATTGCATCCTCACAAAGATATCACATCATCATTGCAAGCACAAAACAAGGGTTTTTATGCCTATTCATCAAAGCAAAAGGTTGAAAATTAGAGTCGTGACCACAACACTATTTTTCAGGCAAATTGGGCAAAATTTGGCCTGGTTAATCAATTAATCATTTGCTAGTGCAAACGGGTTAATCGACTAAGCCTTGTAAAAAATGCAGATTCTGCTGCAATTTCAGGAAAGCAACTTGCACTCTACTATTTTAGGGTCTACTTGATTCTAGCATTGTGTGGAACATTCTAGACATCTCTAGACATTTGAAGACCTTTCTAGACACTTCAAGGCATTTACTCCAATACATCAACTTGAATTGAGACCACCATGTAACTTCATTTGCAAGCATGAGAACCCTTTGATTTGAACTTGCATTGGTATTGCTACCGAGTCAACTACCTAACTAACTAAGTTAACTTCACACTCAGTGAGTTGAGTCCAACTAACTCCAAGACTAGTTCCAAAGCTAGTTCTAAAGCTCATTCCAAACCTAGCAACTCTAAACCTCTTTACTATATAACCAAAGCTCCACCATTTCACAAGGACTCTCAATTATTTTCTCAATTTCTACATTCATCACTCTCAATTCTCTCACATTCACTCTGAATTTTCTGCAACTTTTACTCACATTCATCTTCACTTTCTTCCCAAACCTCAATAAAGCTCAAATTCACCATTAAAGAGTAGCAACTTCTACATTGGAAGTGTTTTTCTCTTGAGTTTAACCATCATCATCTTGCAATTCTACTTGGTTTTCTGGAGTTTTATTGGCTTTTGATTCATCTCAAGTGATTACTCCAAGCTTCTTCGGTGCAAATTCATATTTGGAGATTTCGTCACATTTTGCCCGGTTTCGCTACAATTCAGTTGTAAATTCTGATTTCTCTGATTTTCTTTGATTATCTTCATCACAATTAATTTGCAACAACATCCAAGGAAAATCTCAACCTTGTAGGTTGGTTATCCTTTGCTCTTTTTACTATTTCAATAGTTTTTGTATCGTTTGCGATGTAGTTTCGATAATTTATTGTGTGTGAATTGATTATGCCATTGCTTGATCCTTGATCTTGATAAGTTAATTGATTCAATTGATGATTATTTGCTGTTTTTGGACTTGACTTTCGTGCATAAATGGTTTCCCTAGCATGTGAGCGATTGCACAAATCATAAGTGGCCAAAAGTGCTTTTGAAAACTCAATTTTCAGCCACTGCTTCAGTGTTAATCGATTAACACAGTGTTTTTTAGCAAAAATCTGTCTTTTTTAAAGGGTTAATCGATTAACACTGCTCCAGAATGCCATTTTTATGTATTTTCAAGTATGGTTGACATTCTTTTCTCATCCAACTCCCTTGGATTGATATGATTGATTTTTACAGATGTTTTATGAGTCATTTAACTTCTGTTTGAAGCATGCTTGTAAACTTTCTGATGCTCAATTTTACCGATTATGCATTTGTTCATATTTTTGGCATTGCATGATCATGTTCATTATTGCATTCTTTGATCACATGCTACATGATTTGTGATGCATACTAAATTATTTTGGTATTGTTTTGCACTTCCATTCATGTATGCATTAAGATTGTTCCTCTTTGGAATAAGCTTAATCTTGTATAATGAATAATTCACCCTTTTGCTTTAATGATTTTTCATCCCTTTGGAAAATTGTTATCATATCTCTCCTTTTTGATTAATTAATTAAAACTTTGTTTTAATTAGTTGATCTTCTCTCTTTCTTCTCCTTTAGATCTTCTAGAGCTTTGTCCTCTCTTTACCTCGCAGAGTTGAAGATTTGCAACACGTTGGAGCACTGTACAAAATTTGTGTCGTTGTGCTATTGGTTTTGTTTCCCCCACTACACTTTGGTGTTAGAGAAGGAATGAGAGTGGAGAATTCCTACACTCATTCTGATTATTTTTGGTAGGGGACAAATGACCATGTGTCTGTAATAGTCGCCTCTATCTCCTTATTGTGGCATCCCCCGTTTCCCAAACGAGTTGATCATTGATCACTTGTACCCTAATCTTATGTTTTTGGATTTAACTTACTCCTTTCAATTCATCATTTCTTTCTCTTGTGGCCAATCACCATCCTTGGTTTCCCCAGAGATTTGTAATCAATTCTTTCTTTAGCTAGGGTATATCCCTTTCTCTTCTTCCCCGGTAAAGTCAATCCTTTCTCTTCGGTTAAACACAGTCTGCCTATTAAAATCGAGTCCTTATCAGAGTTCGCGACCTTCTCTTGGTTCTCTTCTTCTTAGTTGGTTAATCATTGTCTATCAGTTAAAACACCAATTTGATCTTTTCTCAGTTAATCGCAATTCGTCTGTTAAGATACTGAGTTTGCCTTGGGTTAATTACTTTCTTTCGATTAATCACCCGCCTTTTAGTCAATCACAGTCCATATGTTAGAACCAATCGTCCTTTTCATCAGTTAACCACAGTCCGTCTGTTAACATACTGAGCTTCTTTTGAGTTAATCACTTTCTCTTGGCTAATCACTCATTCCTTTTGATTAATCACGGTCAGCCTGTTAAACACTGAATTCCCTGTAATTAGCAACCTTTCTTTGGTTCAAATACTCGCACCTTTTGTTAGTAACCTTTATTTGGTTCAAATACCCTTTCCTTCGGTCAAGTGATGCTTGTTCAGTTAATGTACCATCCTTTAGATCGCAACCTTCGCTTGGTTCCACACCCGTCCTTTCGGTTAATCATTGTTTATCAGTTAGCACACCAAGTTCTCTAAAGATTCAAAAACATTCTTTTGGTTCAATACTCTCTTCTTTCTGGTTCATCACCGTCCGACTGTTAATACCATCCTTTTTTACTCTCCCCACAAAGTTTTGTTCTTATCCTTCTTCGGTCAATCACTGCCTGCCAGTTAATGTACCGAATCCTACGTGGATCTTACCTTTACTTTGATTCATGTCCTTTTATTCTCCTGGTTTCAACACCATTCCTTTGTTTTATCCCTAGTTGAGTTATCACTTCTCTTTTGAGTTCCTCAACAAATTTTCCTTTGCCTTTCTTTCTTGGTTTTGACACCATTTCTTTTGCATTCCCAGTTGGGTCTTTCTTTCTTCCTCTCACTCTTGGTTTTGACACCGTTTCTATTTCCTTTTCTTTCTCTGTTCTAGTTCCCTGAACTACGTAGGCTCTGACTTCCTCATTGCACTATGAGGGTACGTAGGCACAAGATTGTGAAATCTTGGCGAGCCACCTTCTTTCATTCTTCTTTCTCTCTGGTTCGCCCAGATCCTTTTCTCTTTTCCCTGATTCCATGAACTACGGAGCTCTGAAATCTTTATTGCACCATGAGAATACGTAGGCATGAGGGCCCCAATCCTCCACAAGCACATTATCTTTCTTTTTCTCTTCTCTCTTTTCTCTTCTTTTAGCTAGAAGCCTTTAAATAGATAACCCATCCAAGCCTAGAAGCAAGTGAAATGGTTCCCGTCGAGTACGACAGATGTGTAAGGTGCTAGTACCTTCCTTTCGTATAATTGACCCCCTTACCTATTTCTCTTTCCTTTGGGTTTTATCGATATTTTCCCTGTCCTTTGGGATAAATAAAGTTAGGTGACAACTCTGTTGTATCTTTGAGTATACGATTCAACCAGGTATAATCTGGCTAGCTTTAGGGTGTTCTGATGCAGTCAGAGATGGATCTCCCTTTAATGAAGCCTCTTTGTTTGGGGGAGATAAGAGAGGGCATGAGAATGGAGAGTCTATCGACCATGATTTTAGATATGATTTTAACCTTGAAATTTGAAAGGGCCATTGGTCTGTATTGGTCTACAGAAGAAGCATTAGGATATTTTGGTATCAGGACTATGGAATTGGCATTCCAATTGGGAATAATCCATCATGTGGAAAAAAATTAAAGAGTAATCTTTATCGCATCAATCTTGATAATTTCCCAATAGTGTTGAAATAAAAAGCCTCCAAATCCGTTGGGACTAAGGGGCTATCATTGCTTAGGTCAAAAACCGCATTTTTGATTTCATTATTACTAGGAAAAATGGTAAGGGTAGCATTAGCTTGATCGAATATTAAATTAGGAATGGCCTCATCCACAAGACAATTATTAACACAGGCATTGTTTGTGGTAAACAATTGCTCAAAGTGATTGGTGAAAATACGTGATATGTTTTCAGGCTCAGTGTATACCTCCTCGTCTTGCTGAATAGAGCTGATTAGTTTGGTGTAGTGCCTTATCTTAGTCATCTTGTGGAAATAGGAGGTGTTTCTATCTCCATCAGTGTGCCATTTAACTTTGGATTTTTCTTGCCAAAAATTCTCCTCCATATTTAGAGCCATTTCTAATTCAATCTGGGTTGTTTGTTCTTTGTCAAGAAGATTATCAGATGGACCCTCTCTTTGAATCTGTGATTGAATATCATCCAGATTAGAGGTAGCTTTTCTTAATGCCTCATGGACATTACCAAAAACTACCTTGTTCCAGTCCTTCAACTTCTATTTGAGATTCTCTAGTTTTTAACCAAGAATGAACATAAGACAACCATATATAGGGGAATCCCAGTAACTTTTGATGATCTTAATACAGTATATGTGTTCAGACCATATTTTCTGGAATTTGAAAGAGGAGGTAATCTTGATGTTCTGATAGTTGAAAACCAAGATAAGGGGTGATGATCTGACTTGTGGCTAACAAGATTATAACAAGAAGAGTTGTTGCACATCTTTATCTATTTTTGGTCACATACTACTCTATCTAATCTTCTTTCAATGTGATGGGAGCCTCTTTTACCAGTGGTTCAGGTGAATTTAGCACCTCTAGTAGGAATGCGGATTACGTTATTAGAATCTATCCAATGTTGGAGATCTTTAATAGGGGCTCTAGAAGGATTTGAGAATCCTTTATGTTCATGAGCCCCCATGATTATGTTGAAATCACCTATGAAACTCCAAGGGTTGTTGTATGGGATTTTGAGAGTATAAAAAGTATGCCATAATTCTCTTTTGTTCATGTACCTGGTAGAGGCATAAATTGTTGTCACACCAAAAGAATGCGGGCCATAATTGATTATGAAGGAGACTTGCTGATCATCACTAAGAACAAATTGAGAGTCAAGATGAGGGGAACCTAAGCACCAAAGGTTTGGGGGAAGATCAGATCTATTATTAATGGTGAATACTTTAAAATTCAGTCTAGTAAAAAAACTAGGAGGAAACTTATCTAAGGACATCCATGGCTCAACTATAAAACAAAAATTTGGTTTATGATTCTTTAACAGATTTTTAAGAGCTAATTTTGTGGGATAGTTAGCCAACCCTCTGACATTCTAGTAGAAAACCTTCATTGGGATGATTTCAGGGAGACTGCCATAGCTCTGGTCTTAGATCCAGTCTTAATAGATTTCTGCATTGCTTTGCTCTGTTTCTTAGAATGTTTAGATACAATTACTTGAAAATCATTAGATTTTTCAGGTTTCTCGGCCATATTGGCCCATGATTGCTTGATGAATTCAATGTGCTTAATAACATTATCAGGAAAATGATCTTCCGCTGATATTAATTCGACTTGTGTTGCTTCTACATATGCAGATCCATTTGAGCTTTGTATGTCATAATTGTTTAGGATGTCCTCTTGAATGTTTTAGTTTTCAGGAATAGGTTGCTCTGAAGAGATGATTTCATTTCTTGTGTTTTGCTGAAACACAATAATATGTCCAGGATTAGGAAGAGGTGATGCATCTGAAGTTTGAGGGACTTTAAGGTTATTTTCTATTTAAGGTTTCATAGAGGGATGTGGGTTATTAGAAATTTTTGCAGCTTGTGTGCCAAGAGACTCGACCTTATTTCTTGCAGAAGGTTGTTCCATAGAGTCTTTTTGTTTATCTTCATGTTCTTTCTGCATATATACATTTTTAGTTACCTGCCTTTGATGAGATATGTCTTGTTCCATAGTACTATTTAGTTTTTTTGCAGTTTGTAACATTATGTCCAGTGATTTTTCACCTGTCACAGAATCCCGATATACTTTCATAAGTAACATAAAAAAAGAAAGCAAACTTTTCTCTTTCCACAAGGATATTATCTCTGAGTTTTCCTGTCAGGTCCAAATCTACTAGTATGCGGATGAAATAACCGAACAATCTTTCAAACATGGATTTAATGGTGGTATCATCCATACATATGAGACTTCTAATCGCACTAGCAATGGCGAAAATCATTTTGGGCCGCTAATAATCTTGGGAAAGTCCAAAGATTCTAATCCACACAGGAAGAGGTTTGTTGTTCAATATTGGGGTTGAAATCTTTTGTCTAAGCAAAAAACTTTAAAATACCAAGATTTAGATTCCAAGAGCTTGTTGATCGAGCTTTTTGTAGGACCTCTATGCAGGAGAATGAGAATTAAAATAAGCCTTTCCCTAGAGAGATGAGGCCTCGTTTACCTAGGTAAGTCCATATGGAAGATAACTTAGATCTTAAGGCATCTATCCTCAATAGAGTCTCACCTTTTGGCGAAATGATCCTTCCGTGTAGATTGTGTTTGCACGAATCCAAGCCTGCTAAATATTCATGTTCAGGTATTTTGATTGCAATATTGTCTCCTTTGACCACCGATTGTGGTAGGTGACTTTTAGGGATATTTGTCATATCCCAAATTTGTCCTACTTGTATATTTCTTTCATCTGTACACCCGTCCACTGACCATTATTCAGAAAAATAAAAAAAAATTATGTTACTTCTATTTTCATTTTCTCATGCCTAAGTCCAAGAATCATTTGAGGATATTGAGTCATGAGTGTGTGTTAAAGGTCATATGATTTGACTATTGGTCAGGCAAAAGAGTTTATTTCTTGATTAAGGCCATGGTGCATTAATTCAGGTGACGTGTGTGTGAGGAACTAATTAGCGTTTGTGTGTTAAATCAAGACAGTTATGAATTGACCAAGTTATCAGTCTGTATTAAGTCAAGTGCTTCATGATTAAGAGTCATTAGGATCTAGAGTATTGTTGCACCCCAAAATTTGCTCTCTTTCAAGGCTTGACTCATTTCTTCATTTCTTTCAAATTCAATGACATAAGGGAGGCCCATCATTCCAAATTCAAGGTTCATGAATTCAAGGCTAGATTCAAGAATATTACAAAGAGAAATTTCATGACATTTGCAAGAATGTCACATTTGTTACAAAATCCAAACTCTTGGTAATGCTTAGGAAATTAAGCTATTTCTAGTCTTAGTTCAAGTTTCTAAAAATAACTTCATGACATGGTATCTGTAATACCCAAAATTTTGCCTTAAGATTAGTCGTTTCATCTTGCATCCCATTTCATTGTGCATTGCGTTTAAACTAACCACTAACGGGTGGTGCAGTTGTTTGATTGTTGCAAAAAAATATCATGTGGCGCGCTCTTTTAGTTTACAGGGTTTCTAGTGCCACTTTATTTTGAATGAATAAAATAGCACAATTGGCAAGAGACCTTGTGTAAGGAGTTGTGAGGTTGAGAGTTCGAATCCCACCTTCTTCACTTTTTGTTTTGTTTCTTTTATTTGTATTCTAACTTTTGTTTTTTTTACCTTTGACTAATTATTTAAGTTGGGCTTTAAAGTGGGCATTAGGTTAGAGTTAACCCTAATTTGTTACCTATATAAATATAAGTTGTGTTTGAGAAATGAAAGGGGGACAAAAGAGAAAAACGGCGGTCGTTCTCACGACTTATCAGAAAAATCTTCGAGGCTTCATCATCATCTCAATCAGAAGAAGTTTCGGAACCGCGAGAAATCCACCTCCGAAAATCAACCGTCCGTCACAACAAAAGCAGAGAATCCGAATAATCTCACCGTAAGCATCGTTAATTGGCTGTTATTTCTTTTTTTGTTTTTTTTTTCTTTCGTAATCCATTTCCAGGATAAGGAAGAGTAAGAGGAGAAAAGGTAATTAAAGGCAACTCTAATGGGTCAAATGAGCAGAAAGAAAGGAAATTAAAGTCAATCCTAATGGGTCAAATGAGCAAAAACAAAGGATGTATCGCCACCCAAGTGGTTAAATGAGCAGAAACAAAGGATGTATCGCCACCCTAGTGGTTAAATGCCTTCCCCTCTCATTATCCTTCCCTTTTTTTATTATTATTTATTATTATTTCTCCTTTCTTTAGTTTTTTTGTCCTATTTATTTTTATTCTTTTTTTGTAAAATTATTATCTTATTTTCTTTTTTAAAGTAATTGAGTTTGAGCTGCTAAAATTTTCATTAAAAAAAAACTTTTATTAAAATCAAAACTAAAACATTTTTTTAATGTTTAAACTAAAACCTTTATTTAAATTAACATTAAACTAAAACCTTTTTTTAAAATTAACATTAAACTAAGAACTTTTTTTTAAAATTAACATTAAACTAAAGAAATTTTTATTAAAATTAAAACTAAAACATTTTTTAAAATTTTAAACTAAAAACTTTTTTTTTAATATTAACATTGAAGCCTTTTTAAAAATTAAAAATTAAAAACAAAAAAACTTTTTTATCAACATTAAAATTATTTTCTTCAAAATTTAAACTAAAATCCCTTTTTAAAACTAATAAAACTATAATTAAAATTCTAAATTGCGTTTTGTCTTTCTTTCAATATTAACTGTTTCATTATTTGTCATATTTCTGTCTAACTTTTCACTAATATTCTCTATTTTTCTCCTCAGATTATACTTAAATTCTGATTAATATTTATTTAATTTATGTTGTTCCATGGATATAATTTACGCGAGGCCATGGTCGCGATTTATTTTATTTTGCATTTTTTTTGGGACTTGTAATTTACGCGAGTGATCATCGCGATGCTTTATTTACTTTCCGCATTTTATTTCTACCATATAATATTTCGCCATGTTTGCATGTTTACCGTTAATCATCCTGTTGCACCCCAAAATTTGACCAACCGTTTCTCGCATTTTGCCTTATGTCTCATTTCATTAGCAATTGCATATCATTTGTCGCATACGGTGCATTTTGTCATTCAGGACGAATTATCGGGATCACAGCCCCTTTTCTCGCGTTTTAGGCGATTTAAACCAGTTCAAATAGGGAGTTTTATTTCGGAATCGAGCAAAGATTGCTCTTTCTGGTGGTCCAGTCCATGATGGTATTTTCGGTTACGTTTCGGTGTTCACCCGATCTTTCTATTTTATTTACTGTGTTATTTTACTTATGTTATTTATTTTTAGCATAAAATTTAATTTTAGATTCTTATTTTAAATAGGTTTTTATTTTAGAATTTAGATAATTTAATATAGTTTTTTTTTTAAATTAGGATTTATTTAAATTTAATGGATAGAAATAGTTTTTA